GACACCTCCCAAAAGAGAAAACCCCTGAAAAAAAAAAAAAAAAAAAAAAAAAAGAAAGAAAACTTGATCTGGCAAATTTCTGGTAGTAATGTTAAGGTGACCAAGGGTGGTGAGATCTGGGAGACACTAGTTTCACACTGTGTCTTTTCTTTCTTTCTTTTTAAAATCACATATGTATTCATTCTGAGCAGAAGCTATTACCTAATTATTGTTGTATACTCCACAGGATAAGGCCATACTTATGGTGAAGGATATCCCCAGTCTCCCTTCAACACCATCTTTCTAAAACTATCTTCATTTCAACTTGTGAAATGGTTTCCCTAAAAGTCTTCCCAGAGCTCCATGCATGTCCTTGTTCCTCAGGCTGTAGATGAAGGGGTTCATCATGGGGGTCACCACAGCATACATCACTGTGGCTACTGAGTCTTTCATGGAGTAGGTTTGGAGGGGCTGCAGATATACCATACCAAGTGTCCCATAGAAGAGGGAGACCACACCCAAATGGGAAGCACAGGTAGAGAAGGCTTTGTACTTCTTAGAGGCTGAGGGTATTCTGAGGATGGCTCTGACTATGTGGACATAGGACATGATCATGAACCCTAAGGGAGTGAGAAAAATGAAGCATCCTGTGGCAACCAGCACTGTGTGAATGATCTGTGTGCTGGAACACACCAGCCTCAGCAGGACATACATCTCACAGAAGATGTAGTGGATTTTCCGTGACCCACAGAAAGTCATCTTGGTCATGAGGAGGGTGAGCAGGAGGCCATAGAGGATGGAGATGATCCAACACAAGATGAGGAGCAGGAAACAGAGGCCAGGACTCATGGCTGTAGTGTAGTGGAGGGGGCGGCAGATGGCCACATAGCGGTCATATGCCATCACTGCCAGGATGAAGTTGTCCAGGGTCACCAAGGAGATAAGGAAGTAGAGTTGTGTCAGACATCCTGCATAGGAGATGGCTTTGTTCTGAGACTGAAGGTTCACCAGCATCTTGGGCATTGTGTTGGTGACAAAAAAGAGGTCAGTGAAAGACAGGTTGGCCAGGAATAAGTACATGGGAGTGTGCAGGTGGGAGTCCGAGCTGATGGCTAGGATGATGAGCAAATTTCCCACCACCGTGACTAGGTACATGGACAGGAACATCCAAAACAGGATCTGCTGCTGCTCAGGATTTTCTGAGATCCCAAGGAGTAAGAACTCTGAGTCCCCACTCCGGTTATCTCCATTCATTCCCCAACTTTCTGCAACATTAGCATCAACAAAAATTTACTAAGTGTCCTCAATTGAATAGACATTAAAACTAGCAAAATTAACCAATATTTTTTTTCGCTATAGGGCGCGTGCGCTCGCCAGACAGACAGAGAGAGACAGAGAGACAGAAAGCGAGAAACCACCCCCCAGGGGGGATGGTCACTCCGCAATCCCTTCTCCATTCTCCTCTCAGGATCTTGGGCACGCATGCACACGCGCCCGGCGTGAGATCTAAGCCACCGGGTCCGGAACACGAACCACGGTCGACTACATGGGAATCCAGTGACATAGCCACTACGTTAACTGCTGGTTCCCCCAAATTAACCAATTTTTAGCATTAAAAATGTGCCAGACTAAAATTTTAAATGACAAAACAATGAAGTAATAATAAGCACAAAAAGAAAACATGGAATATTCCCATGCAACTTAATAACTCTAATGAATTTCTGATCTGGCATACCCAATATGATAGGAATCATATCTAATTCTTATTTTAAGTCTTGCCTTTTTAAATTTCTCTTGAAATAATGTTATGACATTATATAGGGTTTAAATGATATTTAATACAGGTATATGCATGATAAGAAATGGATATTGTCCAAATGGATAAACATATTGTGAAAAATTATGAAAAAATATTGGACAAAGAGGAGAAATAAAAATATTGGAAAGGAGAAAGAAAAATTATCATTAATTGCTGATATGATCTAAGAAAATCAAATGAAATGCCTTTAGAAGTCACAACATGAATAGACCCCAACTGATATTATCAATAAACCATTTAATGCAGTGCTTAAAACAGTGCTATCAGAGTGCTTCATTCAAGTCTGAGTGTGCTATCATGGCTAAAAAAACCAGGCCACTTGAATTTTGTAAGACTCAGCTTCTTGTGGAAAATGGGTTGGAGTGAGTAGAAAATTTTGTCATGAAGCGCTTAACACAAAGAGCTGGGATAAAGTGAGCACTCAATCAATAGTGTTTATCATAAACAATAACCAGAAATAATAAGGTCAAAATATACAGTAGTTCCCCTCCTCATTACCCATGGATGCCTGGTGCTGCAGATAGAACTATAGTTATAGATAGTACTATACAGCACTGTGTTAGTTTAACCTGATAACCAGGTAGGTTACTAAGTGACTAATGGGCATGACATGGCATGAACACACTGGACAAAGGGATTTGAATGATACTACATGAGATTTCACCACACTACTCCAATTGGTGCACAATTTAAAACTTACAAATGGTTTGTTTATTTTAGGAATTTTTTCATTTAATATGTTTGAAACAGAGTTTGAATCATGGGAAACTGAATTGTGAAAAGTGAAATTATGGATGGGGTTACTGTAATGTAAAACAATCCCACTTAATTGTTAGCAGACACATCTATATGAATTTATGATATTAATGAGAATCAAGTATGGTCTTTAAATTCTCAAAAGAGGCATGAAATAAACTTAAAAAATTTGCTATAGGGAATGTGTGCTCATCAGAGAAAGAAAGAGACGGAGAAAGAGAGAGAGAAAGTGAGAAAAGTACTCCTTCAGGGGAATGGCCGAGTCCCTTCTCTGTTTTCCTTTTTGGGATTTTGGACATGCATACTTATGCTTTCAAGCTGGTTCTGGGACTTTAATTGTGCAGTTGGCCATGTGGTATCCAGCTGCCTTAACCACCATGCCATTGGCTGACCCTAAACTTTAATAAACAGACATATTAAGATTCTCTTAAAAAAAAAGATTCTCTTTCTTTCCCTCTCTCTGATGAGTATATGTACCCTCTGACAACACAAATAAATAAAATTAAAAAGAAAAAAAAGCTACTTTAGAGAAAAAGGGATGTTTTATAATCATGAAAGAATCAATCCATTGGAAGATAAAACTATAAACACACATGTACCAAGGTGCTTAAAGCAAAAACTGGTAGAAATGAGGGGAGAACTAGCTAATTCAACAGTAATGGTTGGGTGGCCAAATATCCCAGTTTCAATAATGGGTAAAATCACTAGGCAGAAGATCAACAAGGAAATAAGTCTTGACCAACACTATAAGTGAAGTATTTCTAGCAGATATCTGTAGAACATACTGCCACCAAAGACAACAAGATTCTTTTCAACTGCCACTGAAACATTCTCCAGGGTAGACAATATGCTAGGCCATAAAAGAAACCTTGCATACACAGGGATACGGATGTCCAGGTCAGGAACTAGCGAGAAGAAGGGAAAAGAGAGGATGAGCTAGATTATCTCCATCAGGACTTAAGTGCTATGCAAGAGAAGGGCCTGGGGAGGAACTGCATTCCCTGGTCACATAGGGGATTCAAACAGGTTGCATGGTCCTGTGGGCTAAGTGATCCTTTCAAGTATTTAGTCAAAGGAGGTATTTGTTAAGGTCTCTTTTAAACTAATATGTGAAACTATAATGATGTGTTTGTCCTTTGGTTCTGAAGTGAGGAGGGGAGTACCCCATACTGCACACTCTAGAGATGTCTTATGTCTACAACTTCCAACATTTGGTATTTGTTACCCATGTAGTTCTCCTATGGTTCTGTACCATGAATGAACTCATTTATTTCTCACAGTACTTATGTACAGTTTAGATCTGATCTTCTAGGTAGTTCATTTACTTTCTGTTAGCCTGCCCCTGCAAGGAATGAGAAAACATGGACATTTGAGGCCATCGAAAGAGAGGCTTCTTGTCTCTTTAATAAACAAAGAGTTGAAATGAGAAAGGGGGACTCATGAGTCTCTTCTCTGAGACAATTCCAAAACTCTCTAAGTGACCTGAGAATGATAAATAGTTCCATGGATACTCCCTGCAGTGACCATTACCTTGAGCACATTTGTTTCTACCCTGGAGAGAAAGACCTTTCACCTCCTTAGAGATGGTCAGAAACTACTTTCTTCCTTGGAGTTCAGGACTTTTGGGACATCTGTCTGACTAGAGAGGGTTGGGCAGGTGACTGTATACCAAGGACATCCAGAGGAACTGATACCTCTTTTCTGTCCCTGAGGGTAATTGTCTCTCACACTTTCATGGGCAAGAGGGTCACCTGTGATGCTTCAACAAAAAGCTGATTTGCTTCTTCCCTGCCTTGAAGTACTGGTTCTGTTCCAACAACTAGCTCTGTTTTGGCAAACACCCTGTGGTTCTGATCTTACCCTTTGGGAAACACTGCTCTGAGTCTGTAAAAATCTGTAGGTTCTGAATTGTTGTGTGGTCAGATGGCCTTAGAAATACACCCCCCTGTGTAGTGTGTCTTGGCATACAGGGGAGTGAATGTGGAGTGTGTTTTAGAAAAGGGATACAAACTTGATGTTAGAAAACTGGGCTTTGGGCCAGCAGGTGGCAGGGTAGTTAAGGTGATGGATTCTACATGGCTGACTGCTTTCCTAGACCCAGCAGCTTGAAAAACATACCGAGTGCATGTGCATGTGCACTCAAAATACAGAGTAAAAAAGAAGGAAGAGAGGAAATTGTAGTGGGGGGTGATTTCTCACTTTCCCTCTCTCTTTCCTAATTTCTGTCTCTGTCTCTGGTGAGTGCATATGCTTTACAGCAAAAATCTTAAAAAAAAGAAAACCGGACTTTGGTATCTTCTCTGCTACTCCATAGCTGTGTGACCTTATGTAGGGCACACAACCTCCCTGAACCTCCTTTCTGCACCCAGGTGGGCTTTCCTGTAGGTTACGATAATCACATTTAGCAGGACATGTCACAGTATGCTGTAGGAATCTTCAGAGTATCCAAAAGACTAGAGGACTATTACCTTATTCACTTAGGGGTTAGAGTATAAAGATTTTACAAAGCATATGTGTATGTTTGTATGAGAGAAAAAAATGGAGAAGATAAGGAAGGGAGAAAAGAGTGAGAGAGCATGAGACTGAGACATCAGACCTTACCCACTGTTCTGCACTGCTGTCAGATTCACTGGTTCTGTTGCCTCCAGTTTCCTCCTATACAAGATGTAAATCCATTAAAGAGATAAAGGAATATAACTTGTTTTTTTTAATAGGACCTGCTAAAGGTGGGGAGATTTGTTGCCAGGGTCATCAATCCCTACAGAAGAAGAGACCGTTTTTGCCCTGATGAGCAGAGGGATCTGAAAATTAATGCTAGAATCCCAGGCTCATGAAGAAAGGGACTGAAGAAAGACTGAATCAGGCCTATTTATCTTTTTTTGGAGAACCTTTGTGGAAACAATCCCAGGAGATCTTCTTTAGAAGAACATTGTTAATTGCTTTAATGCTAATGTCTAGAAGCAAGGGTCTTGGGAAATGAATCTTGTTTACAAGGAGTAAACCAGCTTCTTATTGTGCAGCAATGATTGAAGATTTCCTAGGAGTAAGAGAAAGCCAGAAATAAGAAGGCTTCATATATATTGCAGCCTTGCCTTGAGTCATTAGTGGTCTGGAAAATCTCGAGCACTAATCTTGGATCATTCCTAGATTGCTAGTGATAAGTAAAAGCACTGAAAAAAAATCATATTTGGGAGATAATGATGTTTTGTTAAACCTCAAGTTATTTTTCTTAATAATTTTTCAAATACAATATTCATCACAGACCCAAAGATAAGGAGATACACAAGGAAATCAGATTCAAAAGCAAGAACCAACACATAGAAGTCATATATGGACTCCATATAATATAATTATCAGACTTAGACTGAAAAACAGTGATGTCTGGAGTTCAGGACCTTTGGGACATCTGTCTGACGAGAGAGGGTCGGGCAGGTGATTATATACCAAGGACATTTGGAGGAACTGATATCTCTGTTTTCTATCCGTGAGGGTAATTGTCTCTCACACTTTAGTGAGCAAGAGGATCACAGTTCCTAACACTGTGTTAGAAAATAAAATAAAGCCTGAAAAATTTGTCAAAATTTTAGCAAACCGAGCAGTTGTGAAGAAGTTATGAGAACTCAGGTCAAAACACATTACTGGCAGCCCAGAAGTCCTTACATTCCCTTCTAGTCACTGGTCTTGAAAACATAATCACTACCTTGACTCGTAATAATATAAATTAGT